TCTAGTTAGCATGAAAAAAAGCGATTTGCACAAATGTTTTACAGTATTGATCTGCTGTAAAAGTTTCTATATAAAAAAAATACGGCTAACCAAATAAAGTTATTGAAACATTTAATGCATTAAATTTGTTTCAAATAATAATAAATATTGAGAATTTTCAATTAATATCTTATTTTAACAAGATGGAACTTACAAAAGCAATTAATAAAGATTCTTTCGACCCAACACCAAAATTAAAATCTAGCCCCGTGCCGATGTTGTTCATTCCCTTTGATATAAATGAAATCAAATGCAAAAATTGTGGATTTGAATATTCTTATATAATCTGTGGTTATCAAAAATATTGTAAAAATTGCTTAACTTGGTATACTAAGAATTTACCCGATAATCAAATATACTTGGACGTACATATAGGTACAAATAATACTCCATGTGGTGAACATGAACCAAGAAATTCAGATTTTCATACACAAAATATACAAGAATGGTGCGTTATCTGTTCAGAAATTTTATATTTTAGACAAATTAAACATTCATATGGTTTATTACGTTCGTACAATTTTTTTTATATGCATCATCAAAAGATATTTGGAAATTGTCAATTATGTGGAAAATACTTTTCTTTTTATGATAATAGTTATAATAGTTATATATGTTCAAATTGTTATTTGATTTCTTCCGGGCGGATATGTTCATTCATTTTAAAAGTTCCTATTCCAATTCTTTATTTACCATGGTGGGATACTATTGAAAATTGTATAGCTTGCAAAAAAAATCTAAAAACTGAAGCAGATTGTCAAAAGTGGTGTTCGAATTGTACCATCATATATACTGGATGTAGATATTGCTTAACGACAAATATTATTCTTGGAATGACAGATCATTCTCCATGCAAGAAATGCAATAGAAAATTAATAATTACTATTGATTTCACAAAATTTATCGTTATTAGTTTCTGTGGAAATAGTAATATAGATGAATTTCTTTATCGCACTAGAATAAATAATATCCATCAATTTACAAATTGCGTAAATACTGATAAAAGCATTGATGCGAATGAATATTACAAAAGTGAAGTAAAGTTTAATATAAATCCTCCAAAACCTATGATAGAATGGATTCCATATTCTCAAATTACAAATTTTAAAAAAATAGCAGAAGGAGGATTTGGTATAGTGTACAAAGCATTTAGATTAAATCCTGATAACAATCAGTATGAAATTGTTGCAATAAAAAGATTCTTAAATTCTCATAATATCAGCAAGACTTTTTTAAATGAGGTAAGGTAATCCTTTAATAATTTTATAAATTACGTTAATTAATACTTGTCATATTTATTTAAATTATTTGTTATTTTGTAATTCAGTTAAAATCATTATATCAATGTAATAATACAGATAAGTGTATTATTAAATATCATGGAATTACGCAAGATCCAAATACAAAAGAATTCATGCTAATAATGGAATATGCTTATGAAGGAGATTTGTATAATTATTTACAAAATAATTTTAATTGCATTACATGGATCGAAAAATTAATTATTTTAGATAACATTCTACAAGGGTATTTATGTTCGTTATACATTTATTAGATTTAATTAATAATTTTATTAATTCATTTCTATTTTCAACGTCCAGACTTCAAATTATTCACGAGAATAATTTGATACATCGAGATTTACATAGTGGAAATATATTATCATGTAAGAAATATCATTGGAATATTGGAGACCTAGGATTATCCCAACCTGCAAATATTTCTTCTTCAAATAATGAAATATACGGAGTTATACCTTATATTGCACCTGAAATATTTAATGGAGCTAATTTTTCAAAAGAATCTGATATTTATAGTTTGGGTATGATTATGTGGGAATTAACATCGGGTTTTAAACCTTTTGCTAATTATGAACATAATACTGACCTTATTTATGAAATCATTGATGGAAAGCGGCCTGAAATTACTGAGGATACTCCAATTTGTTTTGCAAATTTGATGAAAAGATGTTGGGATCCTGATCCTTTAAAAAGACCTTTAATAGAAGAATTTAGTCAATTGCGTCCTATAATACATGATATTAAGAAAATTAAGCAATTTCAACAATCCGAGGAAAAAAGGTTTGAATTAATTCAATCAATGAAATTGGGTCCTGATAAACCTCATCCAAAGGCAATTTTTACAAGTAGAGCTTTAAGATCTTTGATTTCTAAATCTTTATCTGTAAATTTATCACTACCTAATTTATCTAATAAAAATCAAGGTACGTAATATATCGTTATTTATGTACATTTAAAATGTATTGTTATTATTATTTAAAAATTTTGGTATATAAGATAATTAATTGCTTTTTAATTTAATTTTTAGAATATATTTCAAGAGAATATGAAATTGATATAAATAGCTTTTAAAATAAATGATTAAATTTTTAAAAGAAAACATATTTTATAAATTATACTTTATAAATTTTTAATTAATAATTAGACCAACTATATGTTAGCCATAAATACTTATAAAGATGAATAATTAATATTGCGATTTAAAATATTAAATGAAAATATTTGTTTAATAGGAATTTTTTTAAAGGTATAAATGTTAATTTATATTTAAAGATTTATTTCAATATATTACTTCTTTATATTAATACAAGATATATTTAAATAAAATTAATTCTAAAACTTTGAATCAAATAATTAAAAGTCTGGAAAAATTCGAGTTTTCGAAAATGATCCGGGTGACTTACCGACAACATTTGATTTTTGAGAAGAAATATTTTGCATATGATATTTTGATGTCGAAAAATTCATAATGCATATAATTTTAAGAAAAAATTTTCAGTTCATATTAACTTCATCCTTTATCAAAGATTATAGCAGAATCTTAATTGATTAACAATCATAATTTTAAGTTGGTATTTATGCTTTTGTAGAAAATGAATTATAAAATATGAAAATAATTTTAATGTTATAAGATGTCATATTCCTCGTTATTTTGTAATTATCCCAGATGATTTCAAAATCCGGTTTCATATGATGAATCACTATTATCTATAGATTTATTCCTATTAAAAAATACAAATACCTTAGAAGATTAATCATTTCGTTAAATCGATTGAAACAAATTTTTTTTTTTTTGTCTTATTTGCCGAAAAGTGACGCAGTATCCGGTAAAAAATAAATGGTTACATTTGCGATTAACTTTTTTTGTTTTTTGTTTTTTTCCAATACCTGATATTATATTTAGTTGCGCACTTCGGGCGCCACATCATAAAAAAAAGTTGCATGGGTGAATAAACCCCCTTCTTAAAATGAAATTTACACTCATATTATTTTCACAAGTGTAAATTTAGCTAAAGTATTTTTGTTAATATAAAAAAATACATGAAATGTAAATATATATTCGTAGTTATTCTTGACTAACATTTTCTATATTATCTGATATTTTTAATATATTTTTTTTAATTGCAAATTTTAAAAATATACGATAAGTCAAAATAAAAGAACTTTATAAAACAAATAATTCTAGTGAATAACATCAGTTTTGCTTTTATATACCAAAGATGATTTGTAGTCCAAATATATGTTCAGATTAGATTAACTCATTTTACGTTTCCCACAGATTACCTCTTTTCTATTGCAAAAGTCCCAAATGACCTTATGAAACTTAAGGAATTAATCCATAGATCAATTAAGTTGGTGCGTTACTATTGACAATGCATTTCACTGTGCCTGACTTCCGAGGATTTGGCAGGTGAATTTATTAGATGAGATAAATTGCCGGAACTGACTTGATTAATTATATTCGCATCACGTGAGCCAAATTTGCTAAGATGCGTGCCGTTGAAAATCAGGTGAAATTCGATTTGCCAAAGATTTGAAAATACTCACTCTCGCTCTTTCTTTGGAAGAGAAAGCTATTCACCCGGTTATAAAACCAACCATCTAGCCAAATACTTACGAATACCAAATATTTGTAGATCAAAAGAAAAAAATAATATTTCCGTTTTTGATGATATCGTCGATGGATGTAATGGTAGGTTTGAAATTTTATTACAAGTATCTTGATTGATTTAAGCAGAACAGATAAAAGGATCAACTGATGAAACTTACCTCCTTTTTTTATGTTTTGTAGAGATAGTGCCGTGTCTTGGAATCGGCAAGTAATGATTCTATCATGAAAATCTGATCCCGATCATTTAAGTATCCTGTGATGATCATAATCCCACTTTGGAAAATAAATTTCGTGCAGTACGAATTATTTCTTTATTAAATTTCGCAATAAAAGTTGCATATATCATGATAAAATTAACATAATCTATCGCCACCAGGAGCGTATGATCGTCATATAAAAAAGACAAAAAAAAAAAAAAAAAAAAAGAATAGATAGTACACAATTTTTGAAAACGTTAATTTATTAATTTAAATTTTACATACGTTCAAAAAAACCAGACCATATGAGTTTTGTATGCTTAATGTTTTCTATACAAATTATTAATTTATTTTGTACGAATGATTTCAGTATGCATCTGTATGAAACTTGTGCAATTTTATTTCATTGGGCTTGGCGATTTATTCAGGTAAGAATTAAATATGGAAACTTATAAGAAATAATTTAATTATAAAAATGCAATAATAATTATTATTTGTCAGCTTATAAGTTTTTGATACGAAAATGAAGAGAGGAACTTTCAATTGTATTTATGTTATCATTAAAATTTTTGATACTTAGCGACGCAAAATTTGAACTTTGGATTATTTAAATGAGGATTGAATTTCATCAAACATTTTTTTTTTATTATTCATTAAGAAGAATATTGATTATTTTAAATATGAATTTAAAGTATATACGTCCAGTATATTTGATTCTTGACATATTTTTAATTGGGGTTTTTTTTTGTTGTAGTTCGAAAGCAAAAGGTACCGGAATTACAAATATTCGATTATGGTGTTACGTATATTAGCTCGGATATTCCTGTGAAAAAAAGTCTTGTTGACAGGTTAATGAAAACTCATGGAGACGGTCTATTTCAAAAATCTCTTGGAATACATGGCGATTGGACGTTTAATGTATTTCGATTGGTTCCAATTGAACAAGATCCAAATTACAAGAACAAGGATGATTTCAATGAACCTCATTACAGAGTAACAATTTCTTACGCATATCCCTCCAAAATAGATATCAACGAATCAGATGGAAAACATGTTGATGATAATGATCCTACATCAGTAATTAAACACGTTAAGCAACTAATTCGAAAATTTAGGCCGGATTGCGAAATGACTGACGTTTTATTAGAGTTATGGGATTTGGTTCCTAAAACTGATCCAAATGATCCAGAAAAATATCCTTTTAAAACCTATAATCCAGCCACACGAAGAAAATTGCGAGATGTTGATCCATTGTCCGTTAATCCTTGGAAAAGTAGCCGAGTAACTTTATTGGGAGATGCTGCTCACGCAATGAGCCCTGTACTTGGATTAGGAACCAACAATGCAATTGAAGATGCTTATGTTCTCTCTCAGGCATTAATTAATTATTCTTCGGAAAA